GAAAGAGAAAAGGGCCGACGGGAAAGGAGGGGGGGGGGAGGGGGGGCAAGTGGCGAGGAAACACCGATAAGCACACGCACACGATGTGTGCCGACCCGTTTCCTCATTATGTTGCATTCGGCTTCGCCTTCGCTGTGTTATCATTGGATCCGCCGCGTGCCACCCATGTGTCCGCCCCTAGCGACGGCGACGGACTTGTTGAGTTGGCTCTACTGAGCGCCTCGCCGCCGGCACGTCGTGGCCTGCCATCACCCCATTTCCCACCACCATGCGACTTCTCCACCGCGCCGCCGCCACCGCCACCGCCCCTAGCTGCATTGTTGTTGTTGTTGTTGTTGTTGTTGCGGCCGCCCTTGCTGCTATCGCTGCTCGAGTGGACCTTCTCCTTCCGCATCCCCGGTGATGTGTAACGCATGGAGCGTGGCAAAGGCACCGGCGCAGCCCCCGGCCCACCGCTGCACCCGCTACTAGCGGTGGCGTTGTGGCCAGCATCGTCGCGTTCCCTGTCGCGGCGATCTCCTTCCTTTCGTTGCTTCAGCTTCAGCAGCCCCTTTGGGTCGCTCAGGCACCGCTCGAACTCTGGGTGATTCGGTGCGATGTTGAGGATTGGGCCGTTTTGGCCATACTGTCGCATGAAGAAAGAGGCAAGCGTGAAATCACTGACTGTGAGGAACGTGATAAGCACCGTTCGGCGGCCGCGGTGACTCTCGTCAGGATCAGCCGTGGTGTGTAACACCTGGATGTACTCCGCGCGCTCCCGCTCGGTGAGCGACTTCTGCGGCGGATAGTACTGAATGAAAACATCCACGTCCATGAGATCCACAGCGGTGAAGGCATCCCAACTTATCAAGAGCGCAGAGGATCTTCTACTGTTGTTGTAGCTTCCGGAGTGATTGCTGTTACTGTTGTTGGTATTCTGGTCGCGAGTAAAGCTCGTCAAGGACGTCTCTTGTCGTTCCGCGGAGTCAGAGCGAAACATACAACACGTAAAATCCGACACTCTACCGCTGCTGTTACTTGGATCATTGGTGGAAGTGTTGTACAGATCCCATTTGCATACAGTTTGGTACAGGTGCTTGATCTCTTTGTGATGAGTAAGCAGCAAGATGCGGCGTGAGTGATACACCTGCAGCACGCGGCGTAAAAGCTCTTCGCGGTCCTTCTCATCCAGATAGAGGAGATGCACCAGTTGCGTGGATGAAGGCGGCGCCGTGCCCGAAGGGGTCTGCGGCGGCACCCAAGTTGCGGGGGATGTACCCTGCAGGTGGTAGTAGCGCCGGTTTCTGCGGCTCAAACAGTACCGTATCCCGGGGCTCACTTTCGTCAGGGGCACAAGATACATGAGAAAGATGTTCACCAGAGGCCGTGAAGTGTTAACGTTGCCAGCGGATACGTTTGAACTTATCGTGGCACCCGCTCCTGTTGCTGTTGCTGCTGGTGGTGGTTGGGGCGACAACGGTGTCAGCAGGCGGAGGACCTCCTCGAGGTGCCGCTCGTTGTTCCGGCTCGCATCCTCCACCGCTAATGTCGTGATAGACTTGAGGAATTCCTTGTCCCACGTGCGCAGCACCCGCAACGTGGTGATGAAAATGCGCCCGCCCTTCGAAGCGGACGACGACGCCTGAGAGTCCCCACCGTCGTCGCCCAGCAGCGGCGGCTTCTGCCCTTCGTTTGCAAGCACGTAGAAGTCGATGTTGCAGTACGATGCAAATGTCTTCATGCTCTTCTGGAGCTGCGCGGCGCAGTCCTTGCTGCTGGCGATCACTACCGCCGTGCATCGCGAGGGCTCCTTCGCAGCAAGCAGGCAGTGCGCGGTGAAGATCGTGATGAGGTTGTGCCGCTCCGCCGTGACGGCACGCGAACTCGTGCTGCCGTCACCGCCGGCACCGCCGCCTGCTGCACGTCCGTCCACCACAATGTCTGCGAAGTCGGTTGTTGTGTTGGCCAAGACACGCGCCTGGAACGGCGTCGGTTGCACAGCGACCCGTCGCAGTGCCGAAACCAATGTGGGGTGGACGCCCAGCGACTCAAACGAGGGCATCTTCCCCATTTACCTCTTCGCTCTGTTGCACAGGCAAGAGCAAGAATGCAAAGGAACCCAAGAGAGGAAAGGGGGAGGCAAGTAGTACGAAGATGCAATTAACAAGAGTCAAGAAAGTATTTTCACTGCTCCTTCTGCTGCGGTATTGAACAAAGGGCACACAGCGGTGAATCAGCTGGAATGGTACACAGTAGACACTCTACACGTGGCCGACAAAGGTATAACGATATATAGGAAGTGGGTGGTTCTGTGCATTTGTTTATGTATATGCACGCAGCCGAGTGTATGTGAGTGTGAGTGAATAGGGCCATGCAGAAAAGAAGGGAAAAGAGAGGCGTGGGCATTACCAGACACACGCACACGCACACACACACACACACACACGTCAAGAAGGATCCCCCCTCCCCCTCTTTCCGCCTCCACCACCCCTATGCCCTACACATACCCACAGAGAAACAGACGCAGACATAGGTCAATCAATGCACTCACACATGCTCCCCATTCTCATTTTGAGCGCGAGTGAGGAGATGTCGCACAGAAGGAGGCTGGCTTCACCTCCGGAGATGGTACACCTCGGCCCCCTGTGGCGCCCCTCACCCGTTCACAGTGGTGCAGACGCGGCGAAGATCCCCGGCGTGAATCTTCGCTTTCTTCCTCCATCACTACAAGGGACGGGGACCTGTCAGGGAAGCGGAAGCCCGCCAATGTCGCTCCTCCGCGCCCCAGTGTGGTGGCCAAATACTTGTACCCCTCACTTGGTGCGGGGTCTATTGTTTTGCCACCGCACTTCTCACGCCGCACCTCGGGTGTGAATGCCTGCTGCTGTTGTTGTTGTTGTTGCTGTTGTGGTTTTTGCTGTTGGGGCTGTTGGGGCTGGTTTTGCTGTCGCTCCCGCCGGGCTGACAACTCCAATTTCCGTAGTTCGACGTTTCTGGATGTTTCCTTTACGTTGGGCACCTCGGCGAGTCTCTCGCAGCGCCGCAGAACGGAAAGGTAGATATCCCGTTCCACGATCAACTCCTCCACCTCCGCGGGGCTCTGCGGCAGTGATCGAAACAGGAGAGAGAGGCTGGATAGGGTTCTTTGCAGCTGCCGTTTCTGCTCCATGAGTGCCGCCTTCTCATCTTGTAGAATGACGATTTCATCCCCTTTTTGGCGCAGCTGAAGGTCCAAACCTTCTAACATGCGCATACGCTCTGAAAGGGTTTCGAGTCTCCGCTGGAGTGCGTTGTCGTTGCTGCCACCACTTCTCTCACTTCCGCATACTTGTTGACTGTTTACTTCTTCGCCGATGTTTGTCTGCAGCAACGCCCCAACCGCCTCTCGTACCTGCACTTCCATCTTTGCTATCAAGCCTTCCTGTGCACGCGTGTATGTGAGGTGTGCCTGCGCAGCCTCCCACATCGCCCGCATCTCCGTGAGTTCCAGCTGCAGAGCCTCCCGCTCCACATCCTTCTTGTGCAACAAGTGGCGCGCCTCGTCGAGGGCACGCGTGAGCTGCCTCACCCGAGAGGCATGTTCCTGGGCACTCTGCTGCGTCATCTTCAGCTCCTCTTCCAGTGCCTCAATGGCGCGTTGGGGATTCTCTAGAGCTCCCTCTGCGCAGCGGCCGCGTTGCAGTTCAGCTCTGCGTGCACTAGGCGGTGACGCTGCATCCCGCATACGCGTCACTTGCCGCTGCAACTCCTCCACCCGTTCCGCAAGTCGCCGCGCATTTCGTTGTCCTTCCTCCAGCGCTACGAACGCATCGGCCCTCTGCCGCTCCTTCTGCAGCAGCTCCTTCTGTAGTTCTGTGATTTTATTGAGCAGACCGTCCAGCCCACTGTTCAGCTGCTCCGTAGAACCGATGGCGGCCTGTTGGCTTGCCTGTAATTCCTCTTTTAGCTGTGCTACCTTGTTCCGCAGAAATATGTTTTGCCGACGCAAGGTCTCCATAGATTCCTCACGCTGTGTCGTTGAAATGGTGGTGTTGCCAGAGTCTATCTTGCCATTATCCTCAGGCCGCTTCACGTACCCAAGGACGCTACTCTTCAAGCCGCCATTATGGACCGCCTTCATCCGAAGGAGTTCTTCCCTTGTGGACATGAGCTCTTCCTCCAGCTCTTTCACACGTCGGTCATACATTTGCCGCACTTCTTTCATCATGGCCTGTGAAGGAGTGTCATGCCGTGAGTCGTACCTCGCTGCAGCCCCCTTCCGTGGCATCTCATTTTGGGGGGTTTGGGATACGGTCTGTAGAATTTGATCGCGTTTCTCTGTCAAAGAGGCAAGCTGCCGCTGCAGTGCCGCGTTCTTCCCTTCAGCATCCATGAGTTGTTCTCGCATGGTGTTCCTCTCCTGAAGGAGACGTGCCAACTGATGTGTCTTGGCTAATTCATCCCCATGACTGCTGCTGCTGGGGCCGCCGTCGCCGTTGTTGCTGGCGAAGGAGTGAGAGATTGGTGGTGCCTCCCGCTCGGGCAGAGCCGCATGGGATGGCAGTGATGGTGAAGTATTGGCCGTCTGCACATCGCACTGCGCACGCTTCACGAGACCAATCAACTCATGCAGGGCACTGTTCTTTCCGGTGGACCACACCGGCAAACCCTGTTCTGTGTGCTGTTCCTTTAGTGCCTCTTCGGCGGCGAGACAGATCTGCTCAAGGTTCAATTTGGTGACATTGGCGAGGAATGCTAAACTTCGCTGGAGATCTACCAACTGGGCAGAGAGATTTTTATTGTCATTCCTGATGGAAGGGGCGCCGCCGCCGCCGCCGCCACTGGCGCATCGCATGGTGGCACACCCTATCCTACCTCCTCACCTCTGACACTTCTATGAAGAAGTCAGAACACGGGAAAAGAAAGAAGATATCGATCAGCATAGCAAAACAAAAGAAAAATAACATTATAAGAGCCCAGCAGCAAACGCGGCATGTAGTGGGGTAAAGAAAGATCAGTTGGGGGTTCAATAGCAGCTGCACATTATACATCTTCTTCTGTAACATTATTCCCAGATGTTCTGGTGGTGGTACAAAAAAAAAACATTACCCCTTCAGAAGCCTCCATTTGTGTACTGCTCTCACTTGCTAGTACGGCGCAAAGGGTGCACTTGACTGCCGCAACTCTTTGGTCCAATCCGCCAAAGAACGTCGGGTATCCAGGTAGCTCTCACAAGTCGGGACACCTACTACATCAACTTCGACCTCGCAATATTGGCCTTCGTCAGCACGCGGCTTGTAGGTCTGATTGGTGTCACTGTGTGGCTTGTAGCCCTGGCGCTCTATCGTGGGTAATTCATCACCACAGTCATCGTCAGCACGCGGCTTGTAGACCTGATTGGTGTCACTGTGTGGCTTGTAGCCCTGGCGCTCGGTCGTGGGTAATTCGTCAGCACGTGACTGGTAGACTCGCTTCTCCCCTCCAAACACTGGTGGTATATCCCTACTTCTCGGGCCCACATTATCTCCTTCATCCTCGGGTATAATTATTGAGAGTGAAGGCTGCGAACGATGAGGTCTGTCTTTTTTTTCGCTCCATGTGGCGGTGCTGCATCGCCGATCACTGGGATCGGCAGCAGCAAGAGCAGCAGCAGAACCCAGCGATCGTCTTCCTGATGATGTGGGACTTCGCCTATCACGCAGCAGCGTAAGGACACTTGTTCTCGACTTCCACCGATTGGCATCCCAGCTCACAGTGGTACTCAACACACGCTTGCCCTTTCTCATCGCATCGCCCGTTACGTCAGGAGCCCACTTCGCCCTAGCACATTCCTCCAGCTCACTCACGCGGTGTCTCTCCTCGACACCCTCGCGCCAAAGACGAGTGACGGCATTCTCCTCTTCGCGACGCACAATTGGCAAATCCCCGCCGCGTGACAGCATCATGTCATTCGCGTAGTTTATCAGCGTGACGTCCAGGGCAGATATGTTCTTCCACTCCGGCTTCTTCGCCGGTCGCGGCGGCGGCGTCGACGCCCACGATGCGGCAAATGTATCCTCCGCATCCGTGTCGACGTTGCCGTGGACATATCGCTGCGACGCCTCCTGCAGTGAGGGGAGCATCGGGCCGGTGTGAAGTGTCTCCATAAGTGTCGGCACCTTGAGCTGCCGCCACACCGGCGGGCCCAACGCAGCCGTGTTCGGCTCCACGAACCCGGCCTTGTCATTAGTCAACCTCACCCCGCACTCTGTGCGGAGCACGTTGGCACCGGCAAACGGCTCTGATCGTTTAAAACGACTGAGCTGTTGTACACGCTTCTTGTGTTCATCGTGGTACCACCGGGATAGTTGCTTTGCTGACTCCACCGTCGGTTGTGTTTTCACGAGGAACCGCATGAGGAGGAGGTTCCCCTCCTGAGTGTCGGCTGCCTGTTTCTTGCGGTCCCGCAGACGCGATAGCATGTGCTCGTCCTTGCGGTACCACTTCCGCAGCTCCCCTTTCGAGGGCAGGTTGTTAATCCCTTGACGCTCGCGGTGTGCCGCATCATTCACATTAAGAATATGCTCGTACAGAGATCTGTTGTCCTTCACAATACGCTTCTCATCGCCCAGCACTCGGCGCTGCAGACGTGTCATGAGGGCGCCGGCCTGCGCCTGTTTTCTGTCCATCAGTTCCGGGTGCCGGAAGTCGACATCGGGGGCGTCAGTGATGCCTTTGCCGGCGCGGAGCCGCATCTCCGCCAGCCGCTGCGCGTGCCACAGGTGCGACACCCCCGCATCCCGCTCGCTGTACTCCAAGTAGTGCTGCTGCACGAAGCGGCGGTGCTGCGGTGATACGGGCATGTCGCCACGTATCCACAAGAGAGGCGATCTGTGCTTTATTGGTGGGAAAGGGAATGTACGGAAGGAGGGAGGGGGAGATGGAGTATGAGGAATTGGTACAAAAGGAGGGAAGGCTGATGCATGGGTAGTGACGAAAGAGAAAAAGGGCCCCATAGTGTGCAAAAATGGCATGCTACAGGATTCACACACACACACACACAAATCTACACCGATACATACAGAAATACCCGCAGCGCGTCTGTATGCCGTGCATCAAGAGCAACTGAACTAAGTCAATCCTACAGAAGCGGGCACCTTCTGCGGCATGCAATGCACAAATCCAGAAGGTGTGACCACACTGTCCATCGTGGCGTCGTAAGGGCCCTTCTCCAGCGGGTTGTGCGCGTGGAGAGGAAGCTGCGCATCGTCCACCGACAACAGCTGCGTTTCCCTGCCGATACCCCACGCTACTACTGACTCTGCTGCAGTCTCACGCATGTGCTGTAGAAATCTGTCGTAGTATCCGCCCCCCTTGCCCAGCCGCCCACCAGCGCGATCGAACAGGACGCCTGGAGCCAAAACGACCACCACACGCTTGGGCTCCTCCTTATCTGGGGAGAGTTGCTGCACCTCCACCAATCCAGCAGGCTTCTCACACCCTGGAAACAAGGTACGCCAATCATCACACGCGATACAACGGCGAGGAGGCGTTGCGGTTTCGCAGCACTTAGTGTCAGTGCTGTTAAAAAATGACTGCTGGAGGACCTCGTCCTTCAGCTCCATCAGCTGGTAGCGGCCACGTCGTTCAAAGGAGTTCAGCAGGTCATCGGGGTCAAACGTCTCTACAAAAAGCATAGCGCTCGACAGACGCGCCATGGCGGTTTCCTGTGGCTGCTGCCAGAGTGGAACCGAAGCGGGCATGCTACTGTTGGACCGCGCCGCCCCCGCGGACGGTGTGAGCACGAACGGAAGGAAAACGTTAACATCCGGCATGCCCTCCACGCGTGGCTCCCGCCACAGGCGATGCAGCAGCGGCTGCAAATCTACTTCAAAGTAGAGCGGCAGGTACGCACACAACAGCAGCGACGATGATGAAGGCGCCTGAGAGGACCTCAAAGCGCAAACGTGTTCGTACAGCAGCGCACACACACGCGATGACTCCTCGCGCAGGGCCTCCGGGGCTTGGCTTGCCATCTCACGCAGACGGCGAAGGTGAGTGCGTCGGAGAGCAGCCTTGGCATCGCTGAGGGGACCCTTCATCGCGACAAGCGCCAGCGCTCTTCTCGCATTCTTCTCGGCGTCATCGGAGGTAAAAGGAAACAGGGAGCGCGTATAGAAACAAAGAGAAAAAAGACCCATAAAGAGAAGAAATAGCGCAAAGAAGCATACTCATTTCAGGAATGAATTGTGTCACCTTTCATGCCTCATTCTCATGTTTTTTTCCCTTCCACATCGCCTACTCCGTTGCATGGCCCCCCTTCACTGCCAAGCACGCAAAAAGGGACCTCAGCATCTCAGTTTCTTCTCGCATCTGCAGCCCTGTGCGCGGCATTCGTCGCTGCTGCAACTCTTCGTCCTCCGGCTCCCCAGCCAGCTTGCCACGCGGGTCAAAGGGTATTACATGGGTGTGGAGATGCGGCACCGTCTGCCCTGCAAACACACCCTGCTGGATGGCAATGCTAAAGCTCCCCTCCATGCCATGGGGGTCAGATACTGTGCAACCAGAAGCACAGCCACTGGTGCTGGATGCTGATCGCCTCAGCACCCGTATTGTAAGGTGTACAACACGGCCCCAATCCTCCACCTCCTCGCGGGTCAGTGCACTCATCGTCGCGACGCAGCGGATGGGCACCACCATCAGGTGTCCGGGCACGATGGGTTTGTGGTTCACCATCACGACAAAGTGCCGCGAGTGGTGGGGAATGCAGTCCGCCACCACGATGCGGTGGGGAAAGAAGATGAAGGGGGTGCACGCCCCCTCCGCTCCCTCCTGAGTGTCGGCGTCGGTATCGTTGGCAGAAGCAACACCGCACACCCGCTGATTCTGCACCGTTGCAGAGAGGGCGAGGGCATCGTGCGCTAGCGGATCCTCTTCTTCCGCCTCCTCCTTCTCTTTTTCGCCGCCGCTGCCGCTGTCACTGCCACTCTCTTCGCCATCGATCCTTGTTCCGCCTTCAGCAGCGATATCGCAATTGTCTCTTTCCTCTTGCAGTTTCTGCATCCAGGCCGTAAAGCTCGCTTCATTCTCATTCACATCCGCAGCACTAACTCCAGGACTTACGACGTAGCGCTGTTGTAGCCTGTGGTAGATCATGTTGTTTGGAACGAAGTCTCCGCATGTCCTTTCGACAATATGCATAAAGGATGTGTTGAGCACCTCTGCCGGCTGCCCTCTAGGCACAGCAGTGGTTGCTCCCGCCACGCCAGAGGAAGCAACAGTGACCACGTCACCTGGGGAAGAGAAGGTAAAACTCCCGGACGGCGACGTAAGACGACGGCACTGACGCAACAACGCGCTCCAATCAGCAGGAAGAAGATGATCGAGACGAAATCGGGCACACACAGGTGAAGGAGAAAGCGCGGAAGGAGAACTATTGCCCTCTTCTGTATGGCGCAATGATTTGCAGAGCCACTGGTAGCTGTCGCAAGTGTTCGCGGAGAACACGATCCAGTGCCTGCACGGGGCGTTACACAACGCCAAGTGCGGCGGTAACTGGGCGCTCCGCATCTCGCTGTCTACAACCCTGCAGACAGTCCGTGAGAAGAGAAAGTGTGGAAAATTTGCAGAGACGAAGGGGGAAAAAAGGAAGAAGATGAAATGGATTACAAAGGCAAGGATAGCACTCGTTGAAGAGCGATATGTGCCTGTATACACAAACAGTAGTGGCCAATCCCAGTTTATCGTCATTTTTTGTAGGAATGATGCATTTCTCGCCCAGTAGAGCTCCTTTGCGGCGGCGGCGCAGGGTGGCTGGCGTTGTATGCCTCCCTCTCATACCGGAGCTGCGCAACCAGGGCATCCTCGGCTTTTGATGTCAGAATACTCTCACAACGTGCGGTTAGTTCAGGGTCAATCATAATAAGCGTAAAAGTAAAGGGTGCAATACTTTTGAGCGGGTCAGGAGAGGCGCGGCGCTGTGTCTCTTCCCACCAGCGTAGTGCCGCGTTACATGGTTTAAGTGTGCCTTCATCTGGATGGACCCCATCGGGTGGAATTGGGTGCAACTCGCCACTTTTATGAAGCATAAGCGAGTAAGTATGGAAGGAGGCGGGCTCATTCGCGTGGACAGCGCGTGAGAGCAGCTGAATCCCAGCCAGAAGCTTGGCGCCCTGTTCCGCTCGGTCTTCGTAGTAGTAGACGTGCTCGGGGCGGTGTCGGGCAATAAGTGTATAGAAAGCCTCCAACTTATACTTCACTGTGCCATAAGTCTCGTGCGGCTTGAGGAATACATCACTTACCAGCTCATTCAGTCCCGCGTGCCTTAGTATCTGTTCCATGCGGCCACGGTACTTTTCGTCGCGGCCGGTGAGCACATACACCTTCACAGGAACTGAATCACCAGCAGCAGCGGCGTTAGCACAATAATGCTTAAGCTCGCGCAGCCGCTGCATCACCGGCGCCACGTACCACTCCTCGATGGGAGGGACTTCTGGCACCACCGGTGGCGAAAGCGTGGAGAGACTCTGAAACCAGCCAAGGCCACCGTCCTGCAGCGGGCGCATGAGTTTTGCGTAGAGATTTCCTTTCGGCAACGTCTTCAGCCGCACGGAGGGCGTCGGGGAGCAGAATATCGTCCCGTCAAAGTCAAATATATGCAGCTGCATACCCGGTGCTATTATATACAGTAGCCTGGTGACGCGCGTGGTTACTTACTGGTATGAGAAAAAAGGTTGGCAGGACGTTCTGCATGTGGACATACAAAGAAAGAAGAATACGATAAGAGAGTCACTGATATTCTTGTAGACGCCCAAAATGTAATCAAACAACACTGTGAACAAAGATGCAATGAGCCTGGGAGTGGGAGTGCGGAGCGTGGATCAGGCCACGACGTCGCGGCAAGAAACTTCTGAGGATAGAAAAAACTCGGGTGCCTCATTGGAACAAAGCCCACGCCAAGACAACAGCAGCAGCAGCAGCAACAGAATGAGCAGTAGAAATCGCCGTTCCTGGATCGTGGAAGAAAATACAGACTCTCTCCCCCGCACAAGAGAAAGAGTTTTGAGGAGGTCTCTCTTATGTTAAACGTCAGATGTCAGCTGCCTACATCTCATTAGTGGGTTGCGTGGAGAACTGCAGCATCTTTCCTCTCGTACCACCTTTCTTGAGGAGGTGAAAAGGTACCTTGAAAACAGGAACAAGAGGAAGCAGGATTCTAGAAGCACACGTTCACATCGCATTATGACGCCGCTGAAGTAGAAGAAACAAGCACAAGGTGAAATAAAAAAGCAGCTCCTTCACCGCCTTACGAAATGACGAATGCGCAGTTTCGTTTCCGTCACATGCAGTCATCGCCAATAATGCGTAAGCCACTTTCTGCCTCTGGACGGGCCATCATGCGCTGCAGCCACTCCCCTGTATCACCATCATCCTCAGTCGCTGTCACCTTGCGGAAACTCAAGCCCACAATCTGTCCCATGATGTTCTTGTGCACACGCGTGAACCCTATCCCTTCGATACACGCGATCCAGTCATCGATCCAAGAACTGCGCCGTGATCCTTGCGTGCGGGTGCTCACAATAATAAACAGGCCACCGTCTTTGAGCGCCAAGTGGGCGTGGAGGCATGCGCGGTATCGCAATCGAGGGTGTGGAAGAAACGAGAGCATCAAGCAGAAGAGCACGGCGTCAAACTGGCCCCGAGCTACCGAAAAATATTTCTCAGGTGTCTCCTCATCACTACACGTGTTCTCACTAGTCCGCACAAGCTGCTCCATCCCGGCTGTTATCGCACCCCCGATGGCACTGCCATCGTCATAATCGTCACGTTTCACGTCTTCCGCCGTCTCCACATCATAGAAACGGGCAGCAAGCCAATCACCTTGAATGACATCGCTCCCCTCGTAAGGGCACAAATCCAGCGCCGTTACTGCCAAAGGCACTCGCAATACCCCGTTTGTAATTTTCATTCCTTTGAACGGGCCATAACATGAGCCAACATCGAGCACTTGAAGTGGCAACGGTTCTAGAGGCACATCACCATCACCCCCAGAGTCATTACTGCTACAACCAGCACTGCCAGTACCGCCAGAAGATCTGCAGCATAAGTATCGACGACGACGACGGACCTGATTGCGTGACATCGACATGTATGTGGCCGCAAGTTGTGCAGCCAGCCAGCGAGACCCGTGGCCAATGTAAGTTGGCAATTCATTCTTCCGGGGCAGAGAATTGGACAGCATGCCCCTGGTGCATTCTTCCCCTTTTGGTGTTTTACTCGACAAAAGAATGTGGTATGCCGCGGCCTCGACCTCTGCTGCACTTGCTTGACGGCCGTTAGCAGTATAGAATTCACGACGCCATGCTTTGACAGCACTCGTTACAATACGGGGAAGCCGTTCAAAGACAGTGTCTTCATGGTTCGTTAAAGACCCTTCACCGTTTTTCCTTCCGAAAGAAGAGTTATCACCACTCTGCTGCTGTTGTCGTCCAGTTAGTGCAGACAGTGAGCAAACACCGAGGTAGTAATCAGCCAAGCATTGTAACGAGTACTCAACACGGTCGCTATGTTGCGATGGTTCACATACGTGCCTCACTTGCTGACCCACACTTCCCTCGCTTCCAGTATCGCGTGGACGCTTCTCACGAATACAATTCACGGCAGCTGCAGGAGAACTGGGTTGATCATCATCATCCTTCTTGTCCTCATGAGTATCCCAATAACGGGTAGCAATGGTATGCATGGCAGACGCGTACGCCTTCATGCGTTCGCCCTCCTCAACCATGAGACGAGACCACCGCTCCTCCTCCTTCTCCCCCTCTGCACCAGTCTCAGTTGACATTCTCTGCTGCAGGAGGTAGTGAAAGGACTTGATGGTGTTGGCCAGTTGGATCTGTTCACCACGTTGCCGCTCACTTAAGGGCAACGCCCCATCGCCCTGCACCTCATCACCATCATTTCTTGCNCAGTTGGATCTGTTCACCACGTTGCCGCTCACTTAAGGGCAACGCCCCATCGCCCTGCACCTCATCACCATCATTTCTTGCTGCAGTGTCTTTTTCCATTAACTACCTTTCTCCAGAGTATAGGCACATGCAGAGCTCCTGTGAGTATACCTAAAAATAAGAGAAACAAAAATACACAAAAGAAGGTGAAAATTAAAGTCACTTTTATTTATGTCATTGTCACTCCCTCACTCCTCCTTCCACTTTTACACACATACCCCATTTATTTCAAAGTGTTTTGTTGTTCTTTTTCACACCTTCACTGGATTAGTATGAATGCGAAAAAAAAAACAAAAAAAATAGTTAAAAAACTGCGCACACATCTCTGTAGTCAAAACAACAACGGTGATAACGAGCACAACAAACAAAATGCACAAGGGCACTGCTCCTCACCACATCATTCTCGATTCACACTCCGGAAATGACCTCTACAAACACATGCATGCATGAATGTACATTTCCTCACACCCTAAATCAAAGCACACATACGCACACACAAATATATATATATATATATAGTGTAGTATGTCAACGAAGCACCACAGCCCCCTCCAAGACTAGAAGAATCCAACAATTCAAAATGTCACAGGTCTTTTTTTTCATTTTTTCCCACCGAAAAAAGTGGACGAGTAGGGGATCGAACCCTAGGCCTTCCGTATGCGAAACGGACGCTCTACCACTGAGCTACACGCCCGACGTCCCGGTTGGCGGACGGCGGGGCAATGAATGGATGTATCAGTTCTCCCCCATTCCCCCTCCCGCTCCCACTTTCAATACGGCAGACGTGGACGATGGCATCCGCCATCTCAGTCCAACACCGCGGAGGAGTCAGCCATTTTCACAGTCCAGACTCTTCATATTTTGTGCGAAGTGCAAGAAAAATAATTGGGCTGCTACACACGGCATTGAGTTTTCAGACCTAAATGTTTTTTTTTTTGTGCTGCCCTCTTTTTCTCTAATGCCAAGAACACATCGGGAAGGCACATGGCGCGAAGTTGGGGGAAAAAAAGTATCTGCTTTTCACACTCACAGACACACACACACACACACCAACACGTTTTTCCCCTACCTGATATATATATATATATATATGCATGTATTTATGTACGCATGCACACGCAATTTTCGGGTAGTCGCTGACTGCTGCATTAGTCAGTCAAGCACTTGAAATGCACTTGAGCGCAACGACTTTAGCCTTCCCCTCGCAAACCACCCGCTCCATAGCATTTATTCACCGACCTACACATACAGGGAACCGGCACCAACGTTCGTACGGAATGCTTTCCTGAGATACGAACTCATTGTCTGTGCAGAGTCGAGATAAGGAGCACAGTACGCCGACCTTAGCATAAAAAATGGCCAACTGGTACAGTTCTGGAGAAATAAAAGTATAGCAGTGGTTTTACAGCATTCATACTTCCAAACCTGTTACTTCCTCCCTCAATACTTTTCACTACCTCTCCACTACATGTCGACGAAGTCGCCCCTCGTATCAAAGGAATCGCAAATCACTTCAAGACCCTTTTTGCCCATAAGCGCTTGGAGCCCCTCAATACCACTAACCGCGCTGCACACATTAATGCACTTCAGCGTGGGGCAGCTTACAAGGAAGTTGACATCAGTTACCGTCGTCAACTTCAGATCAAGCTCCTCCAGCTCGGCACACTCGGTCAGCTGCGAGATTCCCTCATTCGTTACTCCTGTGCGGGCGCAGAAAATGCGCCGGATGCGCGGGCATTTCGCCAGCACATTGATATTTGTAATGAGAATGCAGCCAGTCAATATAACTGTATCGAGCATTGGCAAATGCTCGAGAAACATTAGTGACGGGTCATTAAGCCCAGAACCTGGCGCGTCCAGCACACGCAGTGACTGAAGCGACGAGAGGAACATAATATTGTCAAATTGTACCTCCGCCATACGGAAGAGCTCAAGTTTTGCGCACGCCGCAGCAAAGTGCAGGCCCTCGCCATGGTACGACGACGAAACATCGAGGAAGCGGAGCTGTTCTAACCTCGCTAAAGGCTCGTAGCTCTCTAGGTCATTGCAACCCTCCAATGAAAGGAATTCCAGGTGTTCGTGTAATGATGGAGCCAACTCGCAGAATGTCTCAAAGCGTAGGGGTGTATCGCGGAGGTGTAGGGAAGTAAGCCCCTTTTCTCGTACCTCCTCGGGTATGAACGTGAGCGCGGTGTCAATGTGGGTCCCAGGCAAGTGCAGAATACGCAGTTTCGGCGTGAAGTGTGCAAAAAATTCGTTTGCAGTGTCGTCATAAACGTTACAATTCTCCACATAAAGCTCCTCTAACGCAGCAGCTGTTTGTTCCGCAATGCCGTTGAGGGAACTTAGTTTAAAACACGAATGCAGTTTCAGTCGCTTTAACTTTGGGAGCAGCAGTCCAACGGCGCCGTCAGGATGGAGAGGGCACAAATGTACTTCTAATGATTCGAGGTTTGCCAGGCGACTGGCCTCCGCTATGGACGTGATTGCACGACATGCCACCAGCTCTAATTCCCTCAGGTTGGTGAGGGGGGCCAGAATGTCAAAGAACCCAACATCAATCATAGAGTGGTGCAACACGAGCCGTGTGAGGCCGTCCGCCACGCGCTGATGGTAGCGGCTCAGCAACGTCGCGCCTAACATCTTAAACTTACGGGCTATAGGGGAGACGGAGCTAAGGCAGAAGTTGGACCGTCCCTCTTCATCATCCTTGGCGTTGAAAATAATGCAGTGGCAATCACTTGATATCATGATTTCCTCACGGTCAGCCCACGGACTCTTTGGGTGCTGCACGGCGTAACGGTAGGGCTTGGACACACAACGCATCGCGCAAAGGGTGCGGCGGTTGTATGGCACAAACCTCATGACATGATGCAGAGTTGCAAGGGTATCCAAATCCCCTGTTAAAGGGTCCTTCGTCGCTCTCGAGAACATTGAAAGATATTCTTTGATTGCTCTTCTCAAACAGGGGTGAACTCTACACTCTTCCTTCGAATAGTCCGTGTAAACTACCGCACACGCACAAAACCTTTTGCCAAAGACTTTCTACCAACACAACTACACACAAAAAAAAAGAGAAATAGGCGACAGTTTTTAAAGCACAACCACAATAAACCAAGCATTGAAACACCTCAACAAACAGAAAAAAAACAATTATTTAGACACATCTACAAAAAAAACAAACCCCCCTGCGAGATGGTATTTCCCCACGATAAAAAAAAATATATATATATATATACCTAACGGAATACGGACCTAGAGAGTCGTTCCACATCGTTGAGAGCATGGTTGGCACAGTAGTACTCGTGCGTTACAGCATCTGGCACGGCATCCTTCCCATCGGTCATGCCGGCACCCCTGTCCAACCCCTTAAGCAGATCATCAATCACCTCCAGGCGACGGTGCCGCTCCACATCCGCCAAAGCCTCCCCATGACTCTTTGTATCAGCAGAAGCTGTCGACGCCCACCACTCAGCAGTGTTGGGGAA